CAATTCCACAGCGTCCCTGCGTCCGTCCCGTGGGACCAGCACCAGCCAGAGGGGAGGGGAGCAGAGTGCTCCCTGGCTTGGCTAAGGCTGCCCAACTCTCCTCCTTGCGCTTCTCAGCTGGTCTCCAGCTTCTCCTCACGTTGCCTCAGGCAGCAGCTCCAGCAGCCAGCAACACTCAAATGTGCTCGTCACGCACTGGCATCACGAGTGCATTGTATGGCAGCTGGGGGACAACTGCCTATTATATAGTGGTTGAAGAAGGTTGGACGTCACTCCAGCCCCCAGGCAAAATCGCGGGTTCACTGTGAGCACTTGATCTGCCAAGATCCAGGGTTGATTGTGGCCGCACCACAGCCACAGCCTTAGTATGGGGCAGTTTCTTTAACTTCCCTATTTTATTCTCTTTTCTTTTTCCCAGCTATCTCGGAATCCCACGAGATAGCTGGGCTCCTGCCATTTCCAAATCTATTTTTCTTTTATTTTTCTGATAAGGGGTTGGAAAAATACAACCCTTTACAGTTTGATGTATCTGGACCCTTTCCCTAGGGCAGATACATCGAGGAAAAGGCTGTACCTAGCCATTTCCTTAGTGGCCCTTCAATTTCCAGGCTCCTTTAAAAAACGGGAGCCTGACAGTTACCTCTGCCAGAGGTAGCACCTCGTGAGGAAAAGTGTCCTCACAAAAAATAAAGAAGAAATAAACAAAACGAAAAGAAAAAAATAAAACTAATCTAACTGCATGCACCTGGCCATTTTCTCGGCCAGGTTCATGCAGTTATATGCAACAGTCTCTCCCTCACTTTCCTCTGCCCTCCCCTTAAAACGGGGAGGCAATGGCGTGTTGGGAGGAGTACGTCCTCCCCCTCCTAACTCCCACGTCCCTCTCTCTCTCTCAGTTCCACGCATGTACTGTGGGTCGCGAGATTCAAGATCTCGCGGCCACAGTAAGTTGGTCAAAAAAACGAAGTGGGAGCCTTTGTGCTCCCACACAGTCCAAAGGACTGTTCTTTTCCCACGAGGCAGTTGTCTCGTTTTCGTTTTCTCTTTTTACCTTTTTTTTTTTTTTACAGTCTTTCACGAGGCAGTT